TATTCCATTGGGAAGCCACTGAAAGGTTTTTTTGAAGGTGGGGGGAATGATTTGAACTTTAGAAAAATAACACATTTCCACTATTATAGTCATCATGAGGGGTGATGTGAAATATTCAGGTTTTCTTTTGAAGTTTCAAGTCACTGAAATGTATTTGCCGCTGCCTTCATACATCTCCCATGCATATTATCGCTTACTCTTACTGCAAGCACATATCCAAAAAAAGGAGGGGGGGCAGGTAAGTAGGGTAAATGGAATATATGATGAGATGATGGCTATGATTTCAATCTAAATGAGACTAAAGTGACTAACATTTCTTCCAGGAGGAGGAAAGCAGCAGGGAGCCACAGAACGGGCAAGAAGGGGAGCAAACAGAGAGTGGTGGGGGTGGTGGTGAGGAAAACTGAGCTGGAGACTGTATTTTGTTGCTACAGAAGCCTTGTCCTCTGTGAGAGGTGCTATTTGGATGTCATTGGTCCTAAAGGAGTCACCAGGGGAAGACTTCTTTTCTCAAGAAGACACCCCCGAGGGAGAATGATTGCCCTTCTTCAAGGGCTTTTTCTTCCACCAGCTTTCAGTGACTACAGCTCCTCTCTGTCCAGAGCCCTGGTGTAGCACACATGATGTGCACTGCTTGGGGTAACCTCCCAGGGAAGGAAGGCCTTGGACTGCAGTATGTTTTTAGGCCTTGGCCCTGACCCTGCTCTGTCACCTATTAGTTGCATCTCTCCATCTCTCTAATTCTTCCTCCTTCCCTGGTGAAAGAACTCTCTGGGAGTTCCTGATATCCCTTCAAGCTCTAAAATCTCATGATTTTATAATGTTTATAGGATTATACATTTCAGTCCTTTGGGAAGGGGTGGGAGAAGATACTTTTTGCTGTTAGAAACGAGTATTCAAACTGCTTCCTGTCGCTCTGTTAACCAAAGCAGACAATTTCTCATTAGTTACTTCACAGGGAGAATCGATGGTGTTTGTTGAAGTGTCAAAACCTCACCAGAATGTTTACCGCGGCTGAGTGAGATCTGTTTTCATGTTCTTTTCAACATGAAAACTTCCTTTAATAAAGTAATACATAAATTAAAAATAATAAGGAGATGCTATGGTAACCACTTTGGTCGGAATAACACATCTGTTTTTGGAGAAAGAATGAAAATCAGAAAAAGAAATATGCAGAAATGTAGTCCTTTTCCTCCTCCCTCCAGGAGAGAAATCTGGTCTCTATTTTGAGCCAAGTATTTGAAGATGGCCTAGTTAGAAGTCTATTCAAACAAGTTTGTAACAGGAGAATAAGATGCAGAGAAAGGACAACTCTTGAAAGGGTTAGGTGCTAAAAAGTGAGGCCTTTGTATCCTTTGAAGAGAGCAAGTAAGAATTATTTTGATGATGTAAAGATGCTTATTTCTAATGATTGTGTTTTGATTTATGTCTTATCTTACAAAGAGTGAAACAAAACATCTGAGAGAATTAGGAAAGAAATTATTTTATTTTTCTCCTATGTGGGCAATTTAATTTTACTCTTATGCTTCAATATGCATGCTTTGTGTTTCTTTTTAAAAAATTTTAATGTTTATTTATTTTTGAGAGAGAGAGAGTGCACATAAGCAGAGGAGGGGCAGAGAGAGAGGGAGACACATAATCCAAAGCAGGTTCCAGGCTCTGAGCTGTCAGCACAGAGCTCAACATGGGACTCGAACTCACGAACTGTAAGATCATGACCTGAGCCAAAGTTGGATACTTAACCAACTGGGCCACTCAGGCACCCCCTTTGTGTTTCTAAATGCACCTGGACTTAATCCAATCTGTCCCTCTTCCTCAGTTCATCTCTAATGGATAGAAGATGCTACCTACTGGTGATTATCTCTAGCCTGCTGGGAAAGTAACAGGTTGACCTGATGGTATAATTTCACCTTAACCCTCATAGTTCAAGAGGTCAGGGAAGCAAAGGTTGGTCTGGGTGCTGTGCAACTGTCAGCAAGGATTAAAGGGAGTGACTCATTCTTCCTTCACACTTTACCCTTTGCCATTTCCCTGGCAGCTGAATCTTTTCAGAAATGGTGCCTTGGAGAGGAAATACAGGAGACGGAAGAGGAGAGAAAAGGAGAGAAAGCATTAGCCCCGTATGTTTTGTAGTTCTTCATCCCATATGCTGCAGTGTCAAATGTTCCTTTTCTCTCCCCGATATCAATCAAAAAGGTTGATTTCATTAAATGATTCAATAAATAAAGGAAACATTTTATTTAAAAACAATCTTGGGGCACTTGGATGGCTTAGTCAGTTGAGCATCAACTTCAGCTCAGGTCATGGTCTCATGGTTCGTGGGTTTGAACCCTGTGTTGGGCTCTGTGCTGACGGCTCAGAGCCTGGGGCCTGCTTTGGATTCTGTGTCTCTCTGTCCTCCTCGGCTCATACTCTGTCTCTCTGTCTGTTTCTCTCTCTCAAAAATAAATAAACATTAAAAAAATTTTTTTTAAATCTCTAAAAGGAAGGTTCAGGATATCAGCTAATGCTAGATTAGAACAGGGCTTAGGAACAAGAACACCATGGATATGGCAGGAGGGCTATCCCCATTTCCTGATGAATGAACGGATGAAAGAGCAAATGAACAAATAGTAATGCCCTCAGTAAAATATATGAATGTTGGCCAAATGCAGCTGTTTGATAGATTCTCGGATTTAACCACACCTTCCTAAAAAAAAAAAAACAACTAAAATATCTGATATGGTTCATAACATAAACACCTCGTCTGTATAGCCTTGAGAGAACAGTTATCTGAAGCTACACATATGGGCTTATAAACACAAAGTGGTATTCATAATTGCAGCCTTTGCTAATTCATCTCACTGACTTGTAGAATGATAGAGCTGATAGGGACCTTCCCGATCACTTCATCATCTATTCAGTCTCCTCATTTCACAGATGAATAAACAGAGGCCCAGAAAGGTTATGTGATTTGTCTAAACACACACAGTTAAGAAATGACTGAGCTAGAATCGGAACCTGGGTCATTTGGCTTCAAATCCAGTGTTCTTCCTACTGTGCTACATACCACAATTTACCAAACAAAATTTCCCCCAGTTATTCAGGGCCTTGAAATTGCCACTTCAGCTCAAATCAAGAGCTAACTCTACTTGGGTTTCCTGATTCCAGCATAGAGAGAACATGATAGTTCAAAAGATGAGAGAAATCAGCACCTACAAGCATCTTTCAAGAAGTCTGGAAATGAAGGAGTGGAAGTCTTCTGGTCACAAGGGTAACAAATGGAACAGATCGCTGATGTAACAAGCAGAGTGGCATGGAACTGGGCATAGGAAATGTGTTTTCTAAAACCCATGAAAATACCAAAGCAATTTTTATTATATATTTTTTGATTATATTAAGTAGGGTTTTGGCTCAACTATTGGTGTAGGGCACCTACAAGGACTAAGCACCTTCTCTCCTATTTTAGTTCTCTTAGACCAAAATACATTGACTACAATTGGATTGAAATTGCATCACTTTACATTTTTTTTCTTCCGCATTACTCTCCATGTCCCTCTCCACATCAAGTATAGCCATTTCTAGAGTTAAAACTTTCCCCCAAATAAATTATAAGGTACATTACACTCCTAGAATAACAACTATACTGTCCTTTTGTTCTGACTCCAGTCAGAACTTCTTAACAGGAGTCAAGCTTAAGAGATATATGAGCAACATCTTAAGACTGCATCTTGGAATCACAATTGATCCACTGCTCCTAAACTCTACATAGAAGCCACTACATTCCCCTGACATTTCTCACTAGGGAGGGGGAAAATGGTAATGGGGGCTCGGGGGGTGTGTCTCTCTAAACCAAAATGTACCAACTTTAGTCTGACACAATTCTTAAAGTGATTAAAAAGGTACAAAAACTTCTCAGCTAATCAAAATAAAATAAATAAGGCATAAGTACCTAAATAAGCATAAATACAAAGCTCAGTAATTTTGAAATACATTAGTTCTTTCAATAAATCTCTATAATTCACATAAAGTATCTGCCTGTAAAAAGAAAATGACCTAGACCATAATAAAATTTAACCAGATTTAAAAACCAGGCAGGTTATCTATAAAAGCTATTGGAAAGAATAAGCACAAAAGGACTGTAGTGAGAAATCAACAGCAGCAAGTAGCTTTGGAAAAACAGAATGACAGTTTTCTAAAATTTTACTGGTGTTGAGGGAGGTCTATTTTCGTGTGACAACTATTTTTGTTCAGTATCACTGAATTTCAATTTATAGCAAAACTGATGCATTCAATTCAGCTGCCCTCTTCACAAATACAAATCTATTTTAAATACCATGGTCACATTTATGTAAACATCTGGGAGAATTGGGCAAAACATCTCTGCCGTTCAGCAGTCCTAACACTTTAATAAACATAATTATTTCTTAGCCATCTCATTCTGCTGCATTGTTTGACAATGTGAAAACCAATGGCATAAAAATTAACTCCTGTAAGACAAATGATTGAATCCAGCCTTGTTATTTAAATCTATGTTCTCCCAACCACATTCTCTTAAAGCCAGTCCTCAATCAAATTCAAGAAAGTATGGCAATAAGTTTTAGAGCATGAAAAAGTTTGGGCACGATTACAGAAGCAACTTGTAAAATATAATTACAAAAGGTTACAGAAATGCTATCTCAAACATCTTACTGGTGTCAATTGCACAAACATTGTCATGCAACATATGTCATTCAGAATAAAGAGGAAGGAACAGCATTTTTAACACCAACTCCATTTAGGAAATTGGATATCAAATACTTCCATCTTCAGGAGTTAAGATTATTCAGTTAAAACATCTTATTCTACTTGCCCTAGTTATCAAAATGAAGCATGAAGAATAAAAGTGTACAATGAAAACCAATTACCTTATTTTAACAGAGATTAAGCTAGGAAGGGCCTGTGTAATATATAAGCATCCCACGTTATCTCGTTTAAACTATCTGCTAACAACAGCAGGAAAAAAAGGGTTGCATTCTTACCAATGAATTTCTGAGGCATTGAGCTTTTTCGTTTTGCCACATTGCTTGCTAATCTGTCCAGAACGAGAGCTCTTTCACTTCCCATCTCTGCTTTGATGTGTCTTGCCTCCGCACTTGCTGGTTTGGAAAAATGTAAAAAGAAGAGGGAAAGGAACACGGTGGTAAATGAGGGAGAAAAGGAAATAAACTGGAAGGAAAAGTATCAGACGTCTGATGCACGCTCTGTTGTTGTTACCTGTTATTACTGCTCAGATTCTTGCCTGGGGTACCTGCTGTGGTCAGTGAAGCCAGCACCAGGGCACGTTCAAATCTTGCAGTCTTATGCTGAGATGGGAAAGCCCGACCCATCCCCAACCAGTATCTTCATTAGCAAGAGGAAGTATTAAATAAACAGCCTGGACGTGGTTGGTTGCAAAAAGATAGATAGATGGAGATCTTCTAACCCCCGATCAGCCTTCTTTCTGATTCTGAGTAACTGCGTGTGACACCTGCAGACTGATATAATTCTTCTAAACAACTTAAAAAAAAAAAGTATGGTGCCCCAGATTTACTGTTCTGTTTATGTTAATAGCACTTTTGAAAATAGATACACTTACCCAGACAGCAAGAAATCTACTCAGTGATTTGTGTATTGAAATTCTGAGTGTTTCTTTTCTTTTTTTCCAGCATGTTCCTTTCAGTTCCTATCTTTTAAATTCTATTTCTCTGGGCTCTGCATTATCTGTTTCATATGCTCCTCACATTTCAAAATTGTCTCAGAATTTCCCTGAGCAACACTTCTGTCTTGAAATTAAGAGCAATTTGTATAATGCATCTTTATTATATTTCTAATGAACAATGTAAATAAAAACTGCCTAAGAATATGGTCTAGTTGTTAATCCACGACTAGACCCCTAAATGGTGTAGGTTTGTGGTTCTCAGACCTCCCCGAACACTAGAATCAGCTGAAGAGAATGTAGGAAACCCCTATGCCCAGCTTCCCCTTCAGATCCTAAAATCAGGATCTGTGGTGTAGGCACCTAGGCAACAATATTTTTGAAGCTCTTCAGATGATTTTAAAATGCAGCCAGAATTGAAAACCATTAGAATATACAGATAGTACTAACATCTAACCAATTTAATAATAAATTGGAATAAATATAGTATAGTTTGCCCTGGTACAGCAGGTAGTACTCAGTAAAAGTCCATGTCTAAAGCTCAAAGAGATACCAGCTGATCTAGATGTCAGGCTTTAAACTAGCAAATGATGCTAGCTCAAGCTACAGATCAGAAAACTTTTCTGTAAAGGGCCAGATAGCAAATATTTTCAACTTTGTGGGGCACATATAGTCTCTGTTCCATGTTCTTTGATTTTCCCTCCAACTCACCACCCTTTAAAAAGGTATAAACCTCTTTACACAGTCTTCTGGCTACATTTGGCCCAAGGGTCAGAGTTTGCTCACTCCTGTCTGCCACAATCATATTGTGGCACTACAAACATTTCTTTTGTTTTATCATAAGCATTTCAGGAGGTCCAAACTAATGATGTATCCATACATTTCTAATGTCTCTAAGGAAGAAGAAATTGAAATTAGTTTAAACTAGAGTAAAAATCAAGTGCTGGTTGCAGAATGGATTTTGTCTTCTCAAATATATGCACAGGTTTAGGGATGGTCAGTGCTCATTCTGTAGTTGAAGGGTTTGCTGTGTGAAAAGATTCTAATATACAGAAATAATGTCACAAATTCGACGGTCTCTCAGACATTCAGTACCACAAACTGGCATGCCCAGAGAGAAGAAAATTGGCCACCTCTGCAGGTAAACAAAAGAGAAAAACTTCCAGGGCAGGACTGTCAATTATAGCCAGGGCAAGTAACCTAAAGCCAAATTAGAAAAAGAGAATTCAAAATACCAAATATGTTTCATTGTATTACTAGCTTGTCTTTGTTTTTCGTTGCCGGTCATTACACAATAAATTATAAGCTCAAGGACTTTAAAATTTAGGAATAAAATTTAGGAATAAAATGGAATCTGGCTCCAAAAAGGATTAAGAGAAGAGGATGATGACCATATTTACTAGACTTTGTGAGTTTCCTATCAAATGTAATTATATGCTCCAAAGAAATAAGTCCCTGTCTCTGGTTTAAGTTATTAACAACATTATTCCTGCCAATGAAAACAATAAGGGTCAGAATAAGGGCCTGGGTAGGTTTGGGGCTGGTGGTAAAGCACTGTCACTTTGGCTGGCTGGCTGTTATAAATAATGGGCATTTCAGCGACAGGACACTTTGCTACTGAGTGAAGTGGGTCGAATTCTGTCCAGCACAGGGATAGGTTTAAATGACCAAACAGGAAACTATTATATATATTATTTCCTTTAACACAAACCACCACCAGATGTGGCACTACCCAGAACCCCAAGAGCAAAGAGATGAAAGACAAAGGCTTGGGATTTGAAATCAGTTCCTGAGGCTGTTATAAGGAGGTTTTTTCTTAGGAGCAGCTAAGGGTGCTTTGACTGGGAACATTCATTCTGGTCTGAGCAACTTTGGGAGGATTAAATCCACACCCTGCTCCCACCCCAACCCCACTCTGTATTATTATCGGAAAGATTTATAATGAAAGGAAAACGAAAAACAGTCCTGTGAGAATTTTTAACTCCATCCCCATTTTACCCCTATTTGTATTGGTATCTTCAGTCACTCCTCTAGTGCACCAATCACCCCCCAGAGATATGTGCCTTCAGCCCCATAAGCATTATGTAGCTAGCCTACTTTTCCCATTCAGCTCTCAGCAGTCACTGTCTACATTTTAACCAGTCACTATCAATTACCACAAGCAGCTTTCTGAGGACACATGTTCAATATCCTCTATATTTGGGAGGATGTTAGAGTGGGGATACATGACCTAAATAATGTAATGAGGGCATGTCACTAAATGGCAACCTTCCGAGATAACATCATCTTTTATCCCTGGTTACTCACCAAGCTCCTCTTGACAGTCATTTCTAGATAAATCTTACTCTGTAAACCAGTGACCAAATGCCTGACATTTAAAAAGATAACATTCTGAAGTGTGTGGATGAACAGATAACTGGGGACATGGGTGGAGACTTTCCCATTCCCACAACTCTCGTTAGAGTGAAAGAAATCCTCTGAAGCAAATTGAGAGGGCTTCCATCCCCGCAAACCCCTCTCCCTGGCTTGTTCACTCAAAATAGCAACTCCAAGATCCCAACCATCACTGGACATGTGAACATGCTCTAGAGATTATGTTCATCTTTACTGAGTTAACTGTTCTCAAATTGGCAAATGAAGCAAAGGTTAACACCTCAGTTGAACGTGCTGCACTCTTTTCTTCCCAAACTGCTGGTCTTTTGCCTTGCAGTTATCGGACACGTGCTGTACAATACCAGGCAATGGCCGCTCTTTAATAACACAAAGATATGCTCTGCAGTTAGAGGATCTCTTCAGGATTATGAGGAATTTAGGCAGTACGCTGAAAAGCAAACAAAGAGGACCACTGGCTTTTGGTCCTCTGCTTCAACTTGAAGACCCAACTGTCTATTTATATAGTCTAGACTTGTTATCTTGCCACATCATGTCTCAAAAATGTAAGTGGAGGGAAACCAGTTTGGCAAGATAGTAAGGGGACAAGATAATGGGTTTAAATGATGAAATAGGAAATCCGTTCCTGGGTGGTGTTTGGCAGTTTAATGTTGCAAGGGATGGGTGCGGGGAATACAGGATAGTGGCAAAAGGCAATTTACACACTTGGTTCATGACTGAGCATAGGGGTAGGGCTGTAATTCTAGATCAATTCCCCTTCATGTCACTTGCCTACTACATGGTGGATGTACCAATTTTCATCTGGAAAATGATTTTAAAGACATGTTGAGAAAATAAATAATAAAACTAATATGAAGTCATAATTACAGAACAGGTTTCTACCTTTAATCTCCACATAAGTCCTAATTGTCTGGCTTTCAGTTAACTATTTCCATGATGCAATTTCTACCTAAAAGTGACTGCAGATTTAACTGTGCAATAGGTTGTGTTTTTGTGTTTGTTCAAAATCTTTCATTTGATCTTGAAGTGTTAAATGGAGCTCAAATAAGAGGCATTGCTTCCTGTCTCTTCTCTGGTGTGGTCAGTAAGTAGCTAGTGGACGGTGGAACAAAGGGGTGTTATTGTGTAAGGAGAATTGTCTAACAAAAGATTGCTATCAAAGACTGAGGCAGGTTCTAACAAAAAAAAAAAAGCTACATAAAATTGTTGCCTTTTTGAGCAAGTAGAATGAATACTACCTAGATAGTATCACTTTTTAAGAAGAAAAATCAGTTGGGAAAATCAACTTTTAAAACATTTAAACTTTTCCTTTGGTCTGCTACTTGGCAAAAATATAAGTTTATTCTAAAATTCTTATTCTTGTATTGGCTCAGCTGAAACTATGAGAGTGAAGATAAAAGGTTGTGACTCCTAGATTCATAAATAAATATAATTATTCAATTACTTTAAAAATCTTGTTATTGCTAGAACTCATTGTCATACAAAAATATGTCCCGCTCCAAGTACTCATAATTTGTGTGAAATGAGGCTAAATGAATCTCTATGCCAGCTGTTAGGCCCTTTCCGGAATAAGAATCAAGCTAATGAGAAAATGAAATCCGTGCTCTTCTCTATTTTTTTTTCATATACATTCCATTAAGACAGCAGAATTGGATTATCTTGATGATGTCACTCATGAGGTCTGGTGTAAAAACTTGGCCTGAAGTAGCAATATCACATGTGCCTCTATTAGACCTTTGTATTATATTAATAGATCAAATGACCATTGCCTTGTTGGATTGTGATTTCTCCAAGGATAAGAGCTAAATTTTCACTCATCTTTACAAACAGTTCTGTTATGGCTCTGGCACATAGAGAACCCAACAAATGCTATCTGAATAATAATTTAAAAAATGATTAGTGAGGCCAGAAGTCCTATTACCCAACATGATGGTTTTTTGCAAACTGGTCTCCAGTCCAAGGTCTTTTTATCTGTTCTGCTTCCAGTAAAGACCTGCTTATTGATGGGAGCAGGTCTGTCTCAAAGCTTGGGTCTTACACTAGGCTGAACTTTAATTTACAATAAGCACTTGATGAGGCCGCCTGGGTGGCTCAGTCTGTTAAGCCGCCAACTCTTGATTTTGGCTCAGGTCATGATCTCACGGTTCATGAGATTAAACCCTATGTTGGGCTCTGTGTTGACAGTTTGGAGCCCACTTGGGATTCTCTCTCTCTTTCTCTGCTCCTCCCCCACTCACACTCTCTCTTGCTCTCAAAATAAATAAATAAACTTAAAAAAATAAGTATTTGATGAATAAATGCTACATCCAAAGTAGCATATTACTATTATCATTACCTGAAAAGCCAGGGATGAAGGGATAAGACGTACCCGTGGTGATACTATGTTGGTTACGTTCAGAATGGAACATGATATCCAGACTGGAACTCCCAATTTTCAGAAGGAAACAGAAATGAAAACCATATAGGGAGCAGTGGCAATAATAAAGGTTTGGTATGGCACCTAGGTGGCTCAGTCAGTTAAGTATCCAACTCTTGATTTCAGCTCAGGTCATGATCTCATGGTCATGGGATTCCCAGCATGGGCAGCCTGCTTAAGATTCATTCATTCATTCTCTTCATTCTCTCTCTCTCTCTCTCAGAGTGTCTGGGTGGCTCAGTTGGTTAAGCGTCCAACTTTGGCTCAGGTCATGATCATGCAGTCTGTGAGTTTGAGCCCCACATCAGGCTCTGTGTTGACAGTTCAGAGCCTGGAGCTTGCTTCAGATTCTGTGTCTCCCTTTCTCTACCTCACCCTTGTTCACATTCTGTCTTTCTCTCAAAAATAAATAAACATTAAAAAAAATATTTTTTAAAGATTCTCTCTCTCTCTGTCCTTTCTCTGCTTGCATTCTCTCTCTCAACACCCAAAAGGATTGGCTTGTGTGGATAAACATTCTTTATGTTTTGGGGGCGCCCGGCTGGCTCACTCAGAAGAGCCCATGACCTTAAGTCTTAGGGTAGTGGGTTCGAGCCCCATGTAGGGTGTAGAGATTACTAAAAAATATAAATACACTTAAAAAATAAGTTTTTTTTTAATATTTATATTTTGGAATTCAGGAAAAGTCATGGGAACTATTTGAAATATAAAAGAGAATAATATATTGACTGACATGCAGTATTTATTATAGTTGATTAAACTGACTTTAAACATTTTGTAACATGAAACCACCATTATATTTGTTTTAAACAAAAAAAGTCAAAACTTGCTGACTTAGTTAACCCTTTATATTTTTTGCTGAGACTTAAAGTATGTTGCATGCATCCATAAAACCACCCTACGAAATGCAAATTAACTCAACCTCTGTATTTCAGCATTTCCTGAATCACCTTAAACCACTAAAGATAACGAAAATATTTCTTTTATACTTTCCTAATTTGAAATTCCTAAAAACAGTTATGGAGATGGGAAATAAGATAGTAATGTTACTTTAAAATCAATCATTTTGAACTTAGTACTCATAGGGGACAGTGTACTGATTTTTCCCCTACTTCCAAGAGAATCAAGGCATACATATATGCATATGTATGTCTACTCATATGTGTATTACCATATTTCTTTCACTAACCATATAATATATAACCTTCAAAAATAGCTAATCAAGCCATATTTTCCCAAACTGGAAAGAAACCCAAATATCTATTAACTGATGAACAGATTTGTTTAAATGCAGTAAATCCATATAATGGAATGTTATTTGTCCATAAAAAGGAATGAAGTGCTGATACATGCATGCTACAACATGGATGAGCCCTGAAAACATTATGCTGAGTGAAAGAAGCCAGACATAAAAGGCCATGTATTATATGATTCTAATTATGTGAAATGTTCAGAATAGGCAAACCCATAGAGACAGAAAGTAGATCAGTGGCTGCCAGGGGCTAAAGAGGGGAAAGAGGGAATGACTGCTAACGGGTGCAAGGTTTCTTTTGAGAGTGATGAAAATGTTATGGAATTAGTGGTGAATGTTGTATAACGTTGTGAATATGTTAAAAACTACTGAATTGTACACTTTAATTTTTATTTATATTTAAGAGAGAGGGGTGGGAGGAGGGGCAGAGAGACAAAGACAGAATCCAAAGCAGGCTCTAGGCTCTGAGCTGTCAGCACAGACCCAGACATGGGACTCGAACTCAAAAGCTGTGAGATCATGACCTGAGCTGAGGTCTGATGCTTAAATGACTGAGCCACCCAGGCACCCCTGAATTGTACACTTTAAAAGGTGACTTTTATGGTAAGTGAATTATATTGCAATGAATTTTTTAAAATAAAAAATATATTTAATCCTGGGAACAAGAAAAGTTCTAGTGATTTTTAAGCAAGTCACTGAATTTTTGACGAGTTTCAATTTCCTCATGTCTAAAATGAGATGATAGGACTAGATGCTCTCTTTAACATTCTAGCTTTAAATATAATAATTCTATTTGGAATATAATTGATGTTGATAACCTGGGAATGCCTCACAGTTAAGAGCACTGTCTGTTGCAAACATTTCTCTTTAGAAATAAGGAGGAAATCCAACTCCTTGATAAAACCAAAGATGCCATCAGGATAAAAAGCAGAAGCAGTGCAAACCAACGGAATTCAGTTGGCCAGCTCCTAACACCATAAAATAGGCTTTATCTAAAACAAAAAGTTTCCTCTCACTCAAAATAGGTACAGCTAAGCTACTTATGATTTCCACTCCATTTTCCATTATTTCTGTCATACTTTTGCAATCTTTCTGCTTTAGAACCTTCAAACCACTCAATTACACCTACTGCTGTCAAACACAAAATCCCCTCCCAGTTTGGTACTCTGAGTATGCAACTGGTTCAAGTAACCAAATGAAAATGTCAGACAACCCGAGCTACACAACCAACATGATGGGCAACTGGATGGGACAAAGGACAACTGCAGAGATGTGACCCAAAGCAGTTTCATGCTGTTTCAACTGAAGAATGAATAGGAAATAAAACCATAATCGATATATGAAAAGACATCTAGTATTTCAACCAATTGCTCCTAGGCATCTAATTCAAAACACTGAATAAAATATGAAACTCCCAAAGACAAAGATAAGCATCACAATAAATCATATGAGTAGATAAGTATATGATTTTGGGGCCTTGGACAAAGAAAATCCTTGTAGTTTTAACTGACTCTGCCCTATCACCCCTCAATCCACTCTACTCTCAACTGCTCTTTCAGTTAATAGCAACTGCATTTTTTAATGTTTATTTATTTTTTGAGAGAGAGAGAGAGAGAACATGAGCGGGGTAGAGGCAGGCTCCAGGCTCTGAGTTGTCAGTTCAGAGCCTGACGTGGGGCTTGACCCCATGAACCATGAGATCATGACCTGAGCTGAGGCTGGACACTTAACCAACTGAGCCATCCAGGTGCCCCATGCAACTGAGTTCTTCATCACATCCCACATCAATCTGTTAGGAAATCTTGTTGGCTCTACCTTTAAAATATATATAGAATTAGAACATTTCTCACCACCTCTACCACTACTAAGACACAATTTTCTCCTGCTTGAATTCAATAATTGGCTTCCTAACTGGACTCTCAAACAATTCCCAATTTTGCTGCAAATACAATCTATTCTCAATAGTAAGTAGACGGACTTTTTTAAATTAGAAAAATATCACCTTTCAGTTAAAAACATTTTGAAGATCTTCAATTTCATTCAGAGTAAAAGCCAGCCTTTATAATAGCCCACAAAGCTTGATAAAATCTGGTTTCCCATTTCTCTTTCTAGCCTCATGTTCCATTACCCACTCTGCTCCAGAGACACAGGACTATTTATACATTGTCAAACTCAAGCCCCAGGGCCTTTGCACTTGCTATTTCCTCATTATCTGCAGGGCTTTCTTCTTATCCTTTTAAACTTATTAAAATGATACCTCCCTGACTCATCTTCTGTTCTAGTAGCAGCTTCATTTTTCTTTTCTTTTCTTTCTTTCTTTCTTTCTTTTCTTTCTTTCTTTCTTTCTTTCTTTCTTTCTTTCTTTCTTTCTTTCTCTTCCTTCCTTCCTTCCTTCCTTTTAGTTTGTTTGTTTATTTATTTTGAGTGGTGTGAGTGGAAGAGGGACAGAGAGAGAGGGAGAGAGAGAATCCTAAGCAGGCTCTGTGCTGTGGAGTTCAATCCCATGAACCATGAGACCATGACCTGAGCTGAAGTCTAGTTGGATGCCTAACCAATGAGCCGCCAAGGTACCTCCTTGCTTCACTTTTCTTAATAATACTTAAAACTACCTTCTAATATACTATATATGTTACTTATTTATTTTGCTTATGGTCTGCCTTTCCCCATTAGAATATAAACCGTGAGGGCAGATTTTTGTTTGTTTGTTTTACTTACTCCTATATCCCACCACCTAGAAGAGCAGATGCTCACTACATGCATATGAACTCACCCGTCTCACCCAGGTCCGTGCTCTGAAGAAATGTACGGCAGCGCTCCTTGTGCTCCTCAAGGGAACTTCTCTGCTTGTAGCTCCTTCCACAAAACTCACATTTATAGGGTTTCTCAACTATAAGGAGAGCACAAGGGGCACTCAGTGACCCTACAGAATGAATGGTGTCTAGGGTCCTGTGCAAACTATCCTTTAGGAATGAGACTGCTGAGAGAAGCCAGAGTATTTGGATATTTTTGCATCTATATTACTTTTAAAGTTAATAAACTGAAACAGGTTTATTTCCATCTACAATGGATGGTTACATTAGAGTTTTCTTGGAAAGGATAGCCTCCTTTCACAAATGAAACGATTTGGATTTAATGACTATTGTTGAGCATAGTGTTTTGGGTCCAGATCCAATCTTGTTTCTTTAGGAAAAAATATAGGCCCTTTATATTCTTCAAGGAGGTTAGTGTGGTTTAAAAATGAAACAGAAAGAGATCCCTTATTTTGTGACATCCATCTGGTTGTTAAGTAAAGAATGCTTAGCCATTCAGCCATTCAGTTAGCCATTCAGCCAACAACTGATGGCCTTTTCAGAGCATTGACATATTTGGATAAATTTAGCTTATCCTTGCCAAGTGGGTATAGCAAAGTCTGGTATCAATAAAAACTGAGCTAACTGAGGATATTTTTGAATACTAGAAATAAGAATGAATTACAAAAATAACTTCATCTTAATTTCTGAGATAAAGCAAAATTTCCTCAAAAATTCATCCATACAATTCAGCCCACCTTTGTCCTCCCAATTCCTCCAAGTGCTTTATTACTTAATATGTAAGTAATAATTTCAATTCTGTGTGCGAGGCTGGTCTTTCTGATTTGTTGATAAAGTGTACCCTGGGAATTTGACAGAGTTTTAGGAACTGAGATTTTTATTTTCTACTCCTCTTGCTCTGTTTAAAATAGTCTTTGGGACTTAAAGCACTAAAAGATCCCTCTGGAATTCTAAATTAAAATGAATGCAGGTTTGTTAAGACTAAAAATGTTAAGTGTTCTGAATAAATGGGGGTCCTCTAGAATCTATCTAAAAAATGACCACTATGTTTGGATCTTACTTGAAAAAAGCAACAGGCAGGACTATTCTAATTTTTTGGATTAAACTCATTCTTAATTCATTACTTTGAATGATGAGCTGTAAATCATTCAAAGAAACTTTTCTTTTGCCACTTATGATCTCTCATGGTGGGTTTTGCTGGGGCTGACTTGTTTAATCCTTAGTCTCTGAATTGTGACCAGTTGTGGGTTTGGGGCTGGGTTTTAGTCAAAGCAGTACGTGGATTGACATAAAAACAAACCTTTTTTTTCAATTAAAAGTTTGCCAGATAACATCAAGAACATGAGGTCCCAAATTTGAAAATAAACTTAGTTTTATTTTTCTAGGAGGGAAACTCTAAATGTTGAAAAAAATTTATTATCTTGCTTGGTTAAAATAAAGTGTGAAAACATCAAGATAGAACATAGTTGTTTTTTTTTTAAATGCTGCTCATCTTCTAGAGATTAAAAATAAATAGGCTGATCAAGAAGAAAGTCAGGTTTAAGAAATTTACCCTACGTACACCTAAAACTAATACAATGTCACATTTTCAGTTATATCCCAGTTTAAAATTAATTAATTACATTTAGCTTGCAAACTGTACATCATTTGGTTGTCCAGACTTCTGAATGAAAAGTGTGTGCGTGTGTTTCTTAGGAAAATAATCTCTTAATAAAGTTTACCATAAGAAAATACTAATGACTATAATTTTTTCACAAAATTTTAAAAGGCATTTTTATAGGGCCGGCTCTTCCTGTCTGACTGTGTTGTTCTCTAAGGGAACAAGGATGGTGAGGAGATGATCATCTCCATTGAGCCAGACGGAGAGCAATTAATGCCTTAATGGAAGTGTAATTAGCCCTAGAGGTCTCTGCTGTTGTAACCCTTCAGAACAGGAATGACGGATTAAAACCTTCATACTTAACTCTTTCTAGTTTCCTTAATGGGCACTGAAGAACACACATTTACTAGATATGGAATGCTTGTTGCTCTTACTTACCAGAATGTGTCCTAAGATGACCTGTGAGTGCATCTCTTCTCTGGCATGCATAGTTGCAGAGGTGACACTTAAAAGGTTTTTCCCCTGTGTGCAGTTTAATGTGGCGGAGGAGGTTACCTTTCTGAGTAAAAGATGCCCCACACTGATTACACTGGAATGGGCGTTCACCTTTAAAAAGGACAAAAAGGAGACTTCTGATCACCCAACAAGTGGCAAAGCATATGCACAGATTAGACGCCTATGGCAAAAGCTCATCTTTTAGACAGTATCTGTTCATATCATATTGGTATCAGCTGGGAGCTATATTTCAAGGCAAGCATACAACTTACTTCTAGAATCTTCTCTGTAGAAGAGAAAAAGCATTCATCTAGTAAGCCTATTTTAGGTATCATCTTGTCTTGGATCAGAGCAGGGGACGGGGGCGGTGGGGGTGGGTGGGTGGAGAAGAGTAGCTCTAGAAGTGCTTTCTAGATGTAAATTTGTCACATTACTTAGTGTTCTATTCGAATATAATCTCAATCTGAAAAAAAAAAAGAATCACTTCTCCAACCCTAATAAAGCATTGAGGGTCATAAATGCCTCTTTTTTAAAGTTTCATATCAGATGTCAGATGGAATCTATTGGGCTCAATGGGACTGTTTTTGTTTGTATGCATTTCTATAGACTGGCTGTTTATTTGTCTGAAGATAAAATTTTTACACTGGTAATAAAAACTATATCCTTTCAGCTATCAAATTTGAACCCCACAGAAAAAGGAGGTCTGCTTTTTAAAAAGCTATGCAAGAATGTATGAAAGATGCTTAAGAATCATATCACAAAATTCAACTCCTACTTATTAACTGAAGAAAAATATTTGGCTGACCTAGAACACTGTGCTTGTGTTTTTATTCATGGCATATGCAATGTTTGCCAAATGCATAGTAAAGCAGGAATAAAAATCACTGGGTAAATGAAAATGCAGAGAAGGGGAGGTACATCAGTATTATAGCAAAAATCAATGAAAGTAATCAAAAGTCCTCCCACATTCCTCCATTTCATTTCTCACATGGCTGCATTAGGACAGTTTTCAGAAGAGTGGATGAGGAAACTTATTTACCAGTATGACTCCGCTTATGAACCATTAAGACGTTGAAGCTAATGCAGGAGAGTCCACACACATCGCAGTTCATTTTGCCACTGGTTGGCCTGCTACTATCATACGAAACAACATGTCTTTCCAACTTAATGTTTTCATATTCATTATATTCTCTTGAATAGCTGTATGGAATTTCAGGCTCTTCTGCATTTCCCATGGGCTCTGGCTTTAAAATATTCTCATCCCTTTCACTGTATTCATCTTTTACTTTCATGGAATCATCTGCAGGGAGGAAAGTGCAAGGAATGAACAATGATTGTGTTTGGAGCTATCAAAGCAGCTCAGAGAGGGAGACCCACAACTGACAATCAAATACCAAATGAAGCTAACATAATACTGTGCATCTACAAAACAAGAAAGCACCATTAGAATCATCCCTCTGAATTCAGAACCACAGTCAGGGGAAAACACACACACACGTGTGCGCACACACACGCGTGCGCACACACACACACACGACAGTGTTTTGCACCATCCAGAAAATGAGAGAGAATAGATTTAGCTGTCACGCTCAAAGCGGCCATGAAAAAAAAATTTTGAGCAACTCTTTTCCAGTATTGAGGGAGAAGAAAGGTTCTCAGATTTAGTACCTTTTTTGGTGTCTGCAGTTAAAAGGCAAGGTGATGAAGCTCTTTGGTTTCAAGAAGAAAATACTGTTTCAATCCTTCAAATGCATTCAGTTTAAGCTACTAAGAGTGAGAGTTGAATAGTTATTATGGTTTTTCTGATTTTAAGCCATGCTTTGCCTCTTCCCCTTCCATGTATATGCACTGCTAAAATGAGTCTTATCTGTTTCTCTTGGAACTGATAAAGAAACAACACTGAATATAGAGGAAGCTGGCAGTACTAGTGAAATACTGTTGAGAAAGATAAAAGGAGAAGTAATTCTTTAACATAATCTTCTAAGGAGTCATTTTCATTGACACAGGTAAATGGAGCTCAACCTAAGCAAGGGGAAGAGCACCTGTATCTATTTTAGGGAGGATGAAACTCAAGATCCTGGAACTATATAGAACTGGAGAGAAGAGGAAGGACTGGCCCAAATGAGTTGGCTAACCAGGCAGTCTCTTAACAGTTGCCACACTCTTGAGTTGAAGATCATAAGAAGTGAAGAAGGCAAATTTATGTAGTGACATTAATAACACCTAAATATTTGCCTGATATAATCGTAATAAACATTTGCAAGGGACTTTTCATATATAAAATAAGCTGCTTAATTTTCCCGACATTTGTTCTTAGAAATTGGAAGTTATTTTCCTCATGAGGAATCATAAATCAATGGAATTTTAGGGCTGGAAGGGAATTTGGGATCATCTAATCCAACCCCCTTTTGTTCTTCAGATAAGGAATTCTGGCACCAGAGATCTTTTCAGTGATTTGTCCAAGGTTACACAGCCAGTTAATAGCATAGGTGTGATTAGAATGCTGAACTTGGATCTGACCTCACACACTAGATGTAGAAAAGTCTAAGTGGCTTCTTACTAACATATTCCACTCTCTCATCAATGGTGTAGACATTAAAAACTAAAACACTCTGAAGAAAAGATATTTTAAAAAACTGCATCCCTTCCAAAAAAACACCAGTGAGTGCAGCTCCTGTCGCCACACAGGAGGAAGTACAACTGCAGCTGTGCCTGGCTTTCTACCTTCAACTCGAGTTTCAATTTTCACTTCTATCAAGGTTACCTTTTATCTATATTAACTGTGTTTGCTTAATAGAGCAAGACAGGGCCTAACCACCAACCGAGGAGCCATTGCTGCAACACTGTTCCTCTGCTTCTCACCACAGTTCATGGTTCATAGCTTTTCACTCTTTGATTAGAAGAGATGCAAGGCTGTAGGATCAGTCCAGCATGTTTCAAATTTTCCCATTCTATGCATCTGGGTCATACATGAATCCATATCCATTTCCTACATGGAAAGAGGTTCATTCCCCTCTTTCTCTGGATAGGTCTCACCTGCTTTCAGATGGAATTGGTTTGCTTAAGTGGTTTTGTTTTTAAAAAAAATTTTTTTAAGAGAAGGATGCACCTGAGGCTTGTACCCTCCTCCCTTCCTCCATCACTCCAGCTGTGGGTGATATCCCACCAAAGCTTGAGTGCTCTTCAGTTTGCATGTAGGCGTTTAAAAGAACCTCAACGGAAAACTTCAGCTACTAAAAACCAAAAACAGCAGATAGGGGCCCGCAGAAAAAGATCCTTTTCATTTTGGTTATAAAATGTTAATATGAGTAGACTCAGGCCATCCATGGTCAGTGACAATTAAAAACCAGGAAGATAAATGTGCTGGGTCTTTCTGAAAATGCAGGACAAAAGAGAGTTGCTACTTCCCTCAGGACTGGCTTTAATGGGCTTGATCTAGAACTCAGTACCACACCAATCTGTCTCAAGAGAAAATCTGGGCTTTGGTCCCTTAGGATTTAGCTGTAGGACAAGGAAGATGATATTTGAGACCCAGAGCCCTAAGGGAAAGCATAAAAGACACATGGACAGAGTATTAGGGAAGTCCCTTGGACTTAATGGACCAAGAGTTCCTGGTACAGTTGTTGGTTTGCCTTGGGACTCTTACTACTTTTGTTTTCTTTTAATGTTTTTTTTTTTTTTTTGAGAGAGAGAGAGCGAGCAAACTGGGGAGGAGCAGAGAGAGAGGGTGAGAGAGAGAATCCCGAGCAGGCTCCACATTGTCAGTGCAGAGCCTGATGTGGGACCCAATCTCCTGAATTGTGAGATCATGATCTGAGCCAAAATCAAGAATCAGATGCTCAACCACCTGAGCCCCAGGAGTCCTACTACTTTTAGATGAAAGACCTGAATCATTACTGGGATCAACAATTCATTGTTATTGGGATCGACAATTCATCATAGTTTACCATGTAAAGATATACAGAACTGAATATTAGAAAACATTAGTATCTAAGATATGAATGGGATTTCTGAGAGATTATTTGGTTTAGAACACAGCTTCCAAATACAGTCCACCAAAGTGACCAGCATGGACACTTGTCTGCTCTAATGAAGAGATTCATTCCATCTCTTGGGAGGAAGATTTATTGCAGCAGAAGAAATGGGAATATTCTGCTACTTATTATCCTTTGAAAATATTAAAACCATGTCTAAAATCAAACTTGTCATCTTTGAACTCAAGCTTATTTCTAATTTATGACTTTGTTATATTTCTAAATGGCATCTTCCTTCTTCCAGTTTCCAAGTCTTAAAAATGGAATCCTTTTCCTTTCAATCTCATCACCAATTCAGTCTGCAAGACCTATAGATTCTATATCCTCAGGCTCTCTGGATGCCAATTCCTCTTTTCCATTCCCATCGCAATTTAGTTTAGCCTCTCATCCCCTCATACCTAAACTCATCCTTTCTCAACACTCCTTTTTAGATAAATATACTACAAAAGTATGCTATGCTTTCTGCCTCTATATCCTAAAAATTGATGTAAAATTCCCTCTAACCGGGTTTCTGCTTCCATAATTCACAGAACCTGCTCCCATGAAGATCATCAGTAATCTCCTGATTCCTAAATCCACTGGCCTTTTGTGTGCCATTCTCCCCAGCTTCTCTGTAGCCCTTGACAATATATTTTTAAAAATTTTTTAATGTTTTATTTATTTCTGAGAGAGAGCATGAGCAGGGGATGGTCAGAGAGAGAGAGAGAGAGATACAGAATCCGAAACAGGCTCCAGGCTCTGAGTTGGCTGTCAGCATAGAGCCCGCCGTGGGGCTCGAACCCATGAACCGTGAAGTCATGACCTGAGTCGAAGTCAGACACTTAACTAACTGAGCCATCCAGGTGCCCCTGTAGCCCTTGACACTATTGACCACCATTCTTTCTTCTTCTATACTATTTGTTCAGTAAAACTGTAACTTCTTTCCTTCTTTTTCTGCTGTGTTTTTTTTCTAGCTCTTTTCCCTCCCTCTACCTCCTAAATACTGCCCGTAATGTTGTTTTTCTTCCCTCTACATCCCCTTCCCTGTGGCAATTTCATCTATTATTCAGGCTTCAACAAGCATTTTATGTGACTAATTCCCAAATATACATTTATCTCCAGGTGTAATCTTTCTCCCCTTCTTCAGTCCTCCAACCTCTAAGGCCTCCTAGGTATCTTCCCAGTTACTCAGGGTAGATTCCTTACAGACATATTTTTTTTTTCCTCTTGTCTGTGACCCACATTTAATCATGCATTGGTTATATTTATGTATCCTCTCTCCAACCTGTTTCTCCTCCCCACTATTTTTCATTCCTTGTATCCTGATCTCAGGCCCTTAATGCCCTCCACTTTGTTCTCCTTGGCTCCTTTCTCTCTTCTTTCCAGTTCATCCTATACACTACCACCACACCGTTCATCCTTGACTATAGCTCTGGTCATATCATGGCCATGTCAAAATTCTTCAATACTCTACTGCCAACAAAATAAAGTCCAAACTCAGAATGAATTTAAAAGGCCTTTCAGTATCTGGCTCCAACCTGTCTTTGTAATGTTGATTTTGAATACTCAGATATCTTTAACCAAACTAAACAACTTCCAAGTATTCTTGCTTTTATTATTTCCACTGCCTACATACAAGATCTTTCCCTAATGTTGTCAAGGTGTGTCCAAATCCGACAGATCCTTTAAAGCCAAAACCAGTATGCCATCTCCCCCCCAAAACACACACTGATCCCCACCCCCACCCCCAGCTGCAAAATAATCTGTTCCTTCTTTCTCTGAATTATTTATAAATTCACCTCATCTCCCATATGGTCACGTAAGGTATCTAAGGTCAGAAGTTACACAGGTTTGTTTTTTTAACTCAGCATCCCCTGTGACACTGCTTAACCTGTATCTGTTGATACAAGGCTGTGTGGTTTAAAAATAGAAATTTTGGGTGTCTGGAAATATGCATTAAAAATATGCCCTTAGGTAAATCTTCTTTTTAAGTTTATTTATTTTTTATTTTGAGAGAGAGAGAGAGAGCATGTGCAGCCCAAAATGGGGCTCAATCTCATGAATTATGAGATCATGACCTGAGCAGAAATCAAGAGTCTGACACTCAACTAACTGAGCCACCCAGGCACCCCAATAAATATCATCATCATCATCATCATTATTATGATTATTATTATTTGAGAGAGAATGAGAGAGAGAAAGAGAGCAAGAACCCACAAGAGAGGGAGAGGGGCAGAGGGAGAGAGAGAGAATTCTAAGCAGGCTCCACATTCATCTGGGAGCCTGA